CTTCCGTGCAAGCCCAAGCGGGTCTCTTCGACCCCGGGAGGCCCCTGTGATCGCGGGCTCTCCCTCTCGCCCTCCGTCCTCCCTCCTCCTTCCCTCCCTCCTTTTCTTCTCCTCCTCTCGGGAGTGGACAGACCTCCTACCCTGACACGTCGATTAAGGAATTGGCCGTTTTCGGTTCGCGAGAGGGCGTCGCGGCCGTCATTTTTGCGGGTCCAGGTCCGTCGGTTTCGGTCCCAGGCCGTTTTAACTAAGGGGAGGTTTACTAAAGGGAGGTTTGTCCACCGCCGATCCTCCTCCCTCCCCACTCTCCCCGTCCTCCTCTCTCTTCCCTCCGCCCTCCTCCCTCCTCTACCCTTCGTCCTCCGTGCTTCTCTCTCCTACCGCCGTCCTCCTCGCCTCCCTGCTGCTGCTGCTGCTTTCCCTCCTCGCTGCTGCTGCTGCGCCCTCCCTGCCTCTTTCCCCTCGCTTCTCCTGCTCCTCCTATCCCTGGGATCCTCACGACACCCCCGCGCGATCTCAGCATGACTGGGGCTGCCCGGACCTCGAGAGGCTGGAGTGACTAGATGTACGTACACGGATCTATTGCGCTGGCCTTACGGCCTGTGCCGCCGACCCTGGAGGCATCGGCTCTCGAGGGAAACGGGGGGGAGAGGGCGAGGAGGAGGAGGAGACGGAGGAGTGAAGGAGGAGGAACAGGTGGGAGGAGGAGCCAGAGAATCCCCAGGAGGGCGGCGTATCTGCTCGAGTGACTAGATGTACGTACACGGATCTATCTGTACACTCGCATCTAGCCAGAGATTCTGAGTTGTCGGTCTCTAGGGCTGCGGACACTGGGACGGTCGGAACCGCCTGCTCGGGACGAAGAGCTGGTCTGCAGGGAAAGGGTCGAGAGGTCCGGGGGCCCGCGGCTCGAGAGCCAGTGGTTTCCAGTCGTCCCACCTCCGGCGCCATGAGAGCGCGATCGTTAAGGTGGGCACGTTCCTCCACGTGAGGACAATTCAAGAATAGTAGGAAATAGTCGGGTGACGAGTTCTTTTTATTATCTGGAATACTTTTTAGCATATGTTTGTATGTACCCTTTACTGTTCGCCCAATGTCCCCCCTGTAGGGGGACATGCCCGTCCCAGCTCGATCCTCGGGCACGCCCTTCGTGGACAGGGGTGCTGAACATGTCTTCTACTGAACGCAGTCGGGCGAGCCTCGGCCTGCGGCTCGTCAGTCCAGTCTCCAGTCGGGCGCGCCCCTCTACAGGAGGAATATCCAAAAGTAGTAAAAAATACTCTGGGGACTATTTTGTTGGCTACTTTTTGGACCATTTTTGGAGCATGTCTTTTTTGCCATATATTTGAATGTGCGCCCAGAATCCGCCTGTGGGGGGACATGCCCGGCCGAAGTCTAGTCAGGCCCCCAGGCTGCACGAGCACGCGTCCACAGATGGTCAGAGCTCCGAATCACCAGGGGCAACTCGGGTCGGGGCTAACTCGGGTTCGTTTTTCGGGAATCCGAACCCGACTTACCCCGGACCCGAGTTACCCCGGATGATTCGGGCGTCCAGAGCCCTGAATCATCAGGGGTAACTCGGGTCAGGGGTAACTCGGGTTCCTTTTTCGGGAAGCCAAACCCGAGTTACCCTGGACCCGAGTTACCCCGGATAACTCGGGCGCCCAAGATGGGGCGCGCCGAGCTGTCGATGATCCTCAGGGCGTGCGTTCGCCCAAGCGCGTGCTCATCCCACCCGGCCCCGCGGGCAGCGCGCGCTGTTCCCTGTGCAGGCTCTCCGGTTCGCCGCCTCTGCGTCGCTATAGAAGGCCCTCCTCGCTCCTCCTCCTCCTCCTCGCTCCTCGCTCCTCCTCCCCTCCTCCTCCTCCTCCTCCTCCTCCTCCTCTCCTCCTCCTCCTCCTCCTCCTCCTCCTCCTCCTCCTCCTCCCCTCCTCCTCCCCCTCTCCCCCCCTCCTCCTCCTCTCCTCCTTCCTCCTCCTCCTCCTCCTCCTCCTCCTCCTCCTCGCATCCTCCTCCCCTCCTCCCTCCTCCTCCCCTCTCCTCCTCCTCCTTCTCTCCCTCCCCCTCCTCCTCCTCCTCCTCCTCCTCCTCCTCCTCCTCCTCCTCCTCCTCCTCCTCCTCCTCCTCCTCCTCCTCCTCCTCCTCCTCCTCCTCCCTCCTCGCACGCTGGCGCTAGCAGCACGCGTTCCGAGGATCATCGAGGCCGGTGCATCTCAGCACGCCAGGCGGGCTCTGCGGAGGCAGCGGCGAGGAGCCGAGCCATTCGCTCCCGTCGCTCGCCTCGCGCCCGGGACAAGCTTCGCCCCCTCCGTCCGAGTACTCCTGTCTCGGAGCAGACCCCTCTCCCATGCACAGAGGTCCGATGTCTACAGAGTCCCCGAGAGTTCCGGCCCTTTCCCAAGCGAGGGCCGGCTCGGCGGCCCGAGCGGCTTTTTGACGGTCATGGGGCCCGGCGAGGGCCCCGCACAGGTCGAACACGGCGAATGACCTCTGCGCTGATTTGTTCGATGCGTTCGTCGGTATCGTGTAGCCGATCCCCGTCCCCATCTCCGTCCCTCCTTTCGAGACCCCCACCGAATTACCACCCCAGTTGGGGATACACCCCTCGAAGCCCGAAGCGAACGACCTGTACCCCCATCTAGGGGGGTAAATCGGCCAGCGGGGCCCAGGCCACGCCGCTGGGGATGGGATCGGTTAAACGATACTCAGCCCGGAGTCTCGGCCCGCTGCGGGGATGAGGGGTCGAGTGCCCTCTGCGCCGGCGCTGGTCAGAGCACGCGAGTTGGCCTCCAGCGCGCAAGGGATGCCGCGGGCCAGGGCGAACGCGCCAGTCTCGGGGCCAGCCTGGGGCTCTCTCTCTTGAGCGAGCTCGAGGCCAGTCCAGGGCCGCAGGCCGCATGGGGCCCACCAGGAGCGACAAGTCGGGCGTTGCCGGAAGTGCCCCCAGACCAAAAGGTGCCCCCCGGATCTCCAATTGGAGGCCCCTTCGGCCCCCGGAGCACCCCTCAGGCCCCTTCGGCCCCGGAGCACCCCTCAGGATCCTGAGGCCCCTTCGGCCCCCCGGAGCACCCCTCAGGATCCTCTGGAACCCCTGGGACCCACTGGGCCTCGAGGCCCAGTGGGTCCCAGGGGTTCCAGAGTGGAGCGAAAAGCGGGGGGCACCTCGGGCCAGGGACACCACCAGCGACCCCCGAAAAACAAAGGCGAGGAGCCCCGGAGCGCGGAGAACCGGGCCTGTGGGGCAGCCCAGAGCGGCCCCCGGCCCCCGCGCTTCCGCGCCCCCGCGCCTCCCAGCGCCGCCTGCGTCGAGCGCCCCTTCCCGCGCCGCCGCGGTCTTCGCCGCCGCCTCCGCCGTCCGCGGCGCCCCCGTCCCCAGCTTGGGCCTCGGGGGCGGCCGTCGTGGATTCCCAGGGCCGCTGTGGCTCAGCGGCCGCCGGGCCCAGGGGGCCCGCTGGGGCGGCAGGCTCGCGCCGTGTCGGCGCACCGATGCGGCCCCCCCACCGCGGGGGTTCAGGGCCGATCGCCGCCGGGGGCCCAGAATCGACCGATCTGGCGACCGAAGAGCCGCCGGTCGCCAGATCGGGGCTGAAAAATGTCTATTTGCAAGTTCGGCCTCTGGAGGCCCTTTGGAGGCCGTGGGGCCGTCAAGGAACGCTTCGCGATGGAGAGCCGGCCACGGGGGAAGGATCGGGACCTCCGAGGACCCCGTATCGAAATCTCTGGGCCTCGGTCAGGCTGATCTCGGCCAGCTCAGCGCTGCCAGGCGGCCGAAGAGGCGCTGGTTGAACGATCCACGCGGTGTCAGAAACAAGCGCCAGGGTCGTCACGACACGAGCCTTCTGCAGATACCAGGAGCGCCCCAGCGGCACAGAGGGATGTGCGCGTGGCGGCTCCCCCCAGAGCTCCAGCGCTCTCATGCCGTGCTCCTCCTGCAGCACTTGACGCCGGGGCCATGGCGAAGCTGCGCAGGTCTGCCGCAGCGCCCTCGCACTCCCTCGTTCGGGTCGTGCCCGCGCTGCTCTTGCCAGCAACGATGGGCGTGTTCTTCTGGAGCCAAGGTCAGGGGCAGCGTTGGGCGGGGCATGCCCAGGGGGGCGTGCATCGACCCCCCATCGCCCATTCATCGCCGATAGGGGCTCGATCGCTCATTCTGGGCCTATCTCGCGGCGAGCCCAGGGGAGAAGTGAGAGGGGGCAGGCCTTCTTCAAAGGCGGCGGGGCTTCTCACTAGCCCTCGCGTCTTCTCAGAACCCGTCTGTGGCTTCGGGGAAGGCTTACTAGGCTGTGGCGCGAGGGCTTCTGAGAAGCCCTGCAACCTTTGACAAGGCCTGCCCCCTCTCGCTTCACCCCTGGGCTCCCCGCCGACCATCGCCGCTCTATCGGCGACGTATCGCCGAGTCTAACTCGATGTCTCCCCCCCCCGAGCTGGCCCCCCCGTTAGCGTTCCCCGCCGCAAGGTGCCGCCAGCCGGGCCGAGGAGCTCCTGCTAGTCCTCGCGGCGGCGGTGGGGCCGCTGCTGGCAGCCGCGGCGCCTTCCTGCCTGCACGCGACCCTGATCTCTCGGGGGTGGACAGAACCCCCAACAGTGACACGTCGATTAGTGAATTGTCCGTCTTCGGTTCTCGAGAGGGCGCCGTGGCCGCTATTTTCCAGGCCTGCGCCCGCCAGGTTTGGGCCTCAGGTCGTTTCCACTAAACCACGCTTTACTATTGGGGAGGTCCGTCCATCCCCGAATCTCAGAAAAGAGCAACGGCTTAAGCAGAACCTTCCGCAGGTCCGCGCGGGTGTCTTCGATCGGCGCTGGGCCTCCCCGTGCGCCGCATCCGGCGCCGCCCCCTGGCGCGCTCCGCGCGCCAGGGGGGGGGGGCGGGGTCCACCGCCGCTCCGAGAGCTTCGCGCGGAGCTCCGGGCCTTTCTGTTTCTGCTTTTGCTTCCTTTTCGATGATCACTGCAATCCTCAGCGGGCTGTCTGTTGGAGCTCTGGGCACGTACCGCCTGCAGATGCCGGCCGCCCCTGGCCACGCCGGCGGTGCGGTGTCGGACCGCGCGCAGCTGCCAGGTGCATCGGCGAGCGGCGGAGTGCAGCACCGGGCCCTGAGGCCTTCGCAGCCGGTGAAGCTGGAAACGTTCAGCATTGTGCTTCCGTGTGCGTATGAGGGCCAGAACGCGGTGCGCACGGTGGAGTCAATCTGGAAGCACACGAAGCCCTCCCGCATCAAAGAGTTCATTCTCGTCGACGATGGCAGCGTCCCTCCCCTGGAAACTGAGCTGCCCTATGATCTGCTCCATGGGAAGCGAGTCGGCGCCCCTGTCGTCATCCTTCGCCAGCCGAAGACGCTCGGGCTGATCGCGGCGAAGAAGCGCGGGGGCGACGCCGCCAAGGGTGACGTGATCGTCTTTCTGGACTGCCACGTGGCCCCAAATGACGGCTGGGACGAGGCGTTCCTGAGGCAGATGAGCCGCGCCGGCGACCATCGAACGGTCGTTGTTCCCATCGGGGCTGAGAATCCACGCGGAGGACACAAAGAAGATCTGTGCAGCGGAGCGCTCCTGGGCGCCTCCTCCGCCACCTCCTTGGTCTGCAGATGGAAGGGAGGAGGGAGGAGGGAGGAGGGAGGAGGGACGAGGGAGGAGGGAGGAGGAGGGAGGAGGGAGGAGGGAGGAGGAGGGAGGAATCGGAATCGGAATCGAGCTCTGGGGGCACTAGGTTCGTCTGACCGCGTGAGTTGCCTGGGCAATTCCTGGTAAAAAATTCACCAGTTTATAACATCAGAACAAAAAAACCTGTCTTCGCCCTGAGGACCTGTCAAGGAACTTCTGGGTGACCGCTTGTGCAGGCAGGAGCTCTACACGGGCGGTCTGAGGCACCCTCGTTTGCCGACCAGGCTGAGAGGCCTCCCCGCACCACCAAAGCCGCGAGAGTTTCTAACGCAGGAGGGCGGAGCCACCCATCTACCCTGGGAGGTGGGGACACAAAGGCCACTCCCACCAACCAGGGCACAATGGGCAGTGCGTCATCCAGCCTCAGTCCCTATCCAAAAAATTGCTCAAAAAGTTTCGTGTGGGGTCGGGGGGGGACGGGTGAGTTTGGCTCCCAGAAGAAGGCTCAGCGGCCTGAGACACGGGAGGAGGAGGGAGGAGGGAGGGAGGAGGGAGGAGGAGGGAGGAGGAGGGGAGGAGGAGAGGAGGAGGAGGGGGGAGGCCGAGTCCCAACAACGACAAGCACACGATTCAGCTCGCGGAGGTCCGCGCGGATTCCTGGCGTCGGCGCGGGGCCCCCCTCCGCACTGCTCCGCGCCGCACCGCCAGGGGGAGGCGGAGGAGCCGGCGCTGGCCCACGAAAGCCGTGCGGACGTCCAGAAGCCTACGCTTATTCGGTCGCTCGGTTCTCCAGTGGAGTTCTCTTCTGCACAGGTCGCTTCAGACGGGGCCGCGACCTCGAGGGGAGCTGGCGGCTGGCGGAACCTGGTATCAAGCAGTGGCGAAGCGTCGCGGCATGCCCAGAGGTCCACCAAAGACTGTGCTTATAACCAGTTGTGCTTTGCACGAAAGGTTCTTGGAGCAGTTCTGGCTGATACTCTTTTGTTTTGACACATCGGCACTCTGTTTTAAGAACCTTGTTTTTGTGTTTCGAACAACATTTGGTTCTAAGAACAGCTCGTGGTAGGCCTGTAGGAATGCCGGGACGGTTGGTCTCTGCTCAATGGCGGAAGAGACGCGAGCTCGGCTGTGCCAGCGGAAGCACGTGGGAAATCGGCGGAAGCGAACGGTCATGAGCGGCGAACGTATCCTTTATCCACGCACTCGCGGTCTGGATTCCAGAGCGTGATCCCGTGGATACGCGGTCTCATGGATGCGTTCCGCGCAGGGCATCCGCGAGAATATCCGCGGGGTCGCGGCCCAGGGGCGCAGCCCGTGAGCCCGCGGAAATGGATATGCTTCGCGCCCACGAAGGCCTGCCTCGGCCCCGCGTGCCGCAGGGGTGCACGCCGTGGTGCGGAGGATGGCCAGTCGAGACATCGGCCGTTCTCCGACCCGGCCCGAGCTGGCTCGAAGTCGGCTGCCCGACCCCTCGCAGGGTCCATTCTGACCCGTCTTTCCTCGAGGCGGGAAGCTTTACTGGGAGGCTCAGAGGGGGACGAGAAACGCCAGGGGGGGGGGGGGTCGCCGTTGCCTCGCCTGGGCCTTCCTCCTCCGAGAGAGAGAGAGCACATAACAAGCATCAGCTTGCGGAGGTCCGCGCGGATCTCTCGAGTCGGCGCTGGACCCCCCTTTCCTGGCGCGCGGTGCGCCGCCAAGGGGCTTCGCCAGATGCGCCGCCAGGGGGCCCCTAATCGCCGATCCAAGAGAAGCCCGCGCGGAGCTCGGGCAGTCTGTGCTTCTGTCTTCTGGGATGTCCTCTGCGGATGGTCAGCCCTGCCCATGATCACCGCTCTCGACCCCGATACCTGGACGGAGAAGGCGTCGGGGCCGAGGAGCCACGCTGGGCAACGTGCAAGAAGACGCTTGACATAAAAAAAGCAGCTTCAGCGACTAAAGCTTACCACGGTGGAGGCGTCAGTTCAGGAACAGTCCAAGGAGGCGCTACACCCTGGAGGATTCCTTATCCATTGAGGGCGGCGGCGATGTCCATGGCCGATCCACGATTGGAGTCCTACTGGCTTCCAGACCCTGGATTCCTTGTCTAAGGGTTCCTTATCCAATGCCCCAACCGTGTGTGTATACATATCTATATGTTTGTGTATATATATATAGAAATATGATATAGAACAAGGAGCTACGCTTGTTACGTCCTCTGGAACGGCGACTTCACCTGGCTGAGCAACGCGGGCCGGGACGTTCCGCTCATGAGCGGGGGCCTCCTGGCCCTCAGCCGGCGGTGGTGGGAGGAAACGGGCGGCCTTGACGACCGGATGATCGCGTGGGGCGGCGAGAACATCGACCAGTCGATCCGCGCCTGGCTGTGCGGCGGGCGGATCGAGCTGGCCGAGAATGCGAGCATCGCCCACATGTGGCGGGACTCCAAGAATCCCAAGACGACAAGGAAGTTCCCGATGCCGACCGAGGACGTGATGCGCAACAAGGCGCGCGCCGTCGCTGCATGGTTCGACGAGTTCAAGGAGAAGACCTTCTCCTTCCCGGAGTACGAGGACATCATTTCTGGAAAGAACCCCATGGGGGACATGGGTCACTTCGACAGGCTGAAGAAGACGCTCACCTGCAAGCCGTTCACGTGGTACATCCCATGGGCTCGCGCCCGTCCGATGATCCGCAGGAAGCTTTGACGAAGGCGTTCCTTTCCTCAAGACGGAATTTCGGACCCATGGAGGGAGAGCAGGGGCAACACCACACCTGACGTGCGCTGTCGCACTTTCCCCCTGCGACGGCCCGCAGTGGTCTCTGGGTTTAGACAGAAGCCTGCACCCTTTTCGACGCGCTGCGACTGCAGGCTGTCCAGCGTCGGCACCACGGTTCCGCGCTTTCCCTCGTCAAGTTGCCTCGGTCGGAGGTGCCTGTTTTTAGGAGCTGGCTGGGGGGCTGAGGTTGCCCAGCATTGGTTCTGGCCAGCATGAATCAGGAGGGGAAAAAACACAGACACAAGTAATCGTTGACTCCCAGGAAAATATGAGCAAATATGGGAAGTGGGGGGAAGACGAAAACCCCCACAATGCAGAACATGTTAGGGTATCCTTTTATTTGTGTATGTATTTGTGTGTCCCTGGGCCCGTTGAATGAAGGGGGGAACAAAGGGGCCCCCTCGTCGCCCCAGCTGGACGCAGCTCGAAAAGCTTGTCAGTTTCGACCCTGGGAGAGGTCTGGAGACCGATTTTGAAGGGTTTTACCTCCGTCCCCCCCTGGCCGTTTCCAACCTGCTTCCTCTCATCCCCGCGCCAGGGAAGGAGTCTCACACGCGCGGCTGCTCCTGGGAGGCTGGGCCTGCGGGTCCACCGCTTCGACTACGTGTACATCCACTCGGGCCTGATTCCCGAGGATCCATCAGCCAACATGTAGCACCCATACTTCTGCGGCGCCCAGGCGTTTCCTGTCGGATGGGGGTCCCCGCTCGAACGGGGATGTACCCTCTCAGGGTCCGACAACTCACGCCCACACTTGCTCTTGCCCTTCCATATATTCCTCCCCTCGTCTAGGTTCGAGCGTTATATATTGCCTTGTATTCCTATATATATATATGTGTATTCCTTGCCCCTGTCTATATTCTTATATACACAGTCCCTCCTTCCCTATATTCATCCTTCCCTATATTCCTCCCCCCTGTCCTTGCCCTTCCCTATATCCCTCACCACGAGGAGGTGTTCCAGCTCCGGGAGCAGAGCACGGGCCTCTGCCTCGAGCGCACCGTGAGCGCCGAGATGCACCACGGCGGGCTCGTCCTCGCGCCGTGCGCCGCCGGCTCCGAGCTGCAGCTGTGGCACCCCGCCAACCGGGACCGGTCGAGGGCGCGCGGCCCGTGCTGCAGCGGCATCGCGAACTGGAACTTCATCCTCTGTGTCAACTCCCCAGGCTGCGTTGCATCTCAGGGGGACCTTGCCTGTCCCCCGAAATGGTGCCCTTTTTGCCGCCCGCCGCGGGCTCGAGGTGGACTCGACGCGGATTCGGCACGGATTCGACGCGGATTCGAGACGGATTGGCACACGGATCCGACGAGTCCGACATGGATTCGACACGGGTTCGACGCGGATGGGGCCGCGGCGGGGCAGACAAGGTCCCCTGAGGATGCAACATGACCCAGGCCTGGGCGCCCCTGCGTCGGTGTTCGAGTGCGACATATCGAGGGCGCCTGTGGCGAGTCGCCGCGGCCCCCCCCCCCCCGCCCTCTTGGGAGCGCGCCTCTGCGGCCAGACGCGGGGCCGGAGCCCCCATGCGAAGCCGTCGTCAGGCGTGTTGCCCCAGCCGCTGTAGAGCCCCCTGGGGAACGCCTGCGAGAAGAAGGGAACGGAGGAGATGGAAAAGAGGGAGGGAGGGAGAGGAGCAGGAGAAGGAGGAGGAGGAGGAGGAGGAGGAGGAGGAGGAGGAGGAGCAGGAGGAGGAGGAGGAGGATGAGGAGGAGGAGGAGGAGGAGGATGAATCATGAAGCAGCATTGGCGGTCCCCAGGTGCAAGCCTGGCCGCACGCAGCACCCACGAGTGGGGTGCCACCATCACACCCTGGCCTGCATGGCCAGGGACACTGCAAGAGAAAAGCAGTCCCGCGCCGCAGCAGGGCACACGGTCGGGGAGGGCAAGATCCTCCCCCGTGCCTGCCGCGCAACCTGTACAAACAAATCCAGCACACCAGAGGGCATCGGTCAGGGAGGCGGTGCCTCCCCCGTGCCCCAACGCGCTCACATGTCTGGGGCGGCCCCCTGAGCAGCGGTCACCGCAGGGGAGACATCACCCCACGGCCGTGCGGCAGGGGGGCGAGGACAGCACGGGGCAGCGAAAAGGACGGCTAGCGGCGCCAGCCCGACGGAACTCCAAAGCCCGAGTTTGATGGCTGGCTGCGTAACCAGCGCCGCCGAGCAGAACGCAGCAAAACCCCAGATCGAACCTGCCACGCGAGTCCACTCACGTCAAGGCCATCGCAAAATCCAGCACGCCAGAGGGCATCGGTCAGGGAGGCGGTGCCTCCCCCGTGCCCCACCGCGCTCACATGTCTGGGGCGGCCCCCTGAGCAGCGGTCACCGCAGGGGAGACATCACCCCACGGCCGTGCACCAGGGGGCATGAGCAGCACGAGGCAGTGAAAACGATGGCCAACAAGGCCTGCGCGACGGAACTCCAAGGCCCGAGTTCCAGGTCTGGCTGCGTAACCAGCACCGCCGAGCACGGAGGAGGAGGAGGAGGACGAGGAAGAGGAGGAGGAGGAGGCGGAGGCGGAGGGCGGAAGCGGAGGCGGAGGCGGAGGCGGAGGCGGAGGCGGAGGAGGAGGAGGAGGAGGAGGAGGAGGAGGACAAATAATATTAATAATACTAAGATTCATAAAAACCAGCAATAATAATATAAATAAGAAGACGAACAACAATAATACTAATAATACTAATAATACCACTAATAATAGAAATAGTGAGAATACCAGTAACAATACTATTAAGACTACTAAGAATAATAATAAACATGCTACACACAATAAGACTAAACATACGAACGCTATGAATAATATGAACAATAACATGATAGGAATAAGAAAAATAAGACGATTACGAATAATACTACGAATGCTACGAATAATAATCATACTACGAACAGTGATAATAACAATAATAATAATCATAATAATAATAGTAATAATAATAATAACAATAATACTAATAATAAAAATACGAATAATAATACTCATAATAATACTAATAAGACTAATAATAATAAGAGGAATAATCGTATTAAGAATATTAAGGGTAATAATACGAAGAGTAAGAAGAAGAGGAGCACGAGGAGGAGGAGGAGGAGGAGGAGGAGGAGGAGGAGGAGGAGGAGGAGGAGGGGGGGAGAGGAGGATAGGAGGAGGAGGAGGAGAGGAGGAGGAGGAGGAGGAGGGGAGGAGGAGGAGGAAGGAGGAGGAGGGAGGAGGAGGAAGGAGGAGGAGGAGGAGGAGGAGGAGGGAGGAGAGGAGGAGAGGAGGAGGAGGAGGAGGAGGAGAGGAGGAGGAGGAGGAGGAGGAGAATTGTTCGAGTATGGCATATCGAAGACGCCTACGGCGAATCACCGCCGCCCCCTGCCTTTTTGGAAGCGCCTATGTGGCCGAACGTTGAGGCCAGACCTGCCAAGCTATCGGACCACGTGTTCCCCGAATCGGTTTGGAAAGCCTTCGGGGAACACGTGGGCATCTTGAAGGTCATCTTGGCCGTCTTGGAGGCCTCTTGGGCAAGCTTTGGGCGATCTTTGGGGCTTTTTGGGCCGTCTCGGGCCAGCTTCGAGCCAACTTCGGCCATCTTGGTGGGTTCCTGGCACGTCTGAAGCCGTCGGAAGCCGTTTGGGGGGCCTCTATGGGCCGACTTGGGGCCCGCTTGGAATGCTCCAGGGCCGTCTTGGAGGCCATCTTGGGCGTCTTGGAGGCCATCTTGGGCGTGTTGGAGGCCTCTTGGGCCCTCTTGGGGCCCTCTAGGGGCCATCTTGGAGGCCACTTGGGCCATCATGGGGCTCTCTTGGGGGCCTCTTGGGCGATCTTGGGGGCTTCTTGGGCCGTCTTGAGCCGTCGGAGAGCCGAAAAGGCGCAAATGCCAAAATCCTTCAAAAACCAATGGAAAATCAATGATTTTGGCCTCTTCGGACTCTCCTGGAGGACCTCTTGGAGGCCTCTTGGGCCGTCTGGGAGGCCTCTGGGGGGCCTCTTGGGCCGTCTTGGGCCGTCTTGGACTCTCTTGGGCCGTTTGGAGGCCGTCTTGGACCATCTCGGGCGGACTTGGAGGCCATCTTGGGCCATCTTCGCGATTTTTTGAGGATGTCCCGAGCGAAACGGCCGTTCTTGGAGGATTTTTTGCGGTCGTTGAGCACGTTTGGGGAAATTCCGGGTGGCCGGCGGGTTCTGCCGGAGCCCACTGGGAAGTTCTTTTGGAAAAAGAACCAAAACCAAAACCTGAAACGTCCAGCACGCCGTGCACCCCTGCAAGCAGGGGGCGGCGGATCTGGCGGCGGTCGGCACATCCCGCCACCGTGCTTGGGCTGCAGGTCAGAAGCCTTTCGGATGCCGGATGCCTGTGGGGATCTCGTGGGAGGCGTCTAGGAAGCCTTTTGAGCGCGGTCTTGGCACACTGAGGGCCCAGCCCTTGAGAATCCCGCAAAAACTGGCCACAAGCCGACAGTCCCATCAGAACGCGCAGGTGTATAAGCCTTGGGACACTCTTCTGCGTGCTGCAGGCACAGTGGCGGCTCTGGGCTCTCCAACACCCAGGAGTTCAGGCTGCGGGACGGGCAGATCGAGTTCCAGGGCGGCAAGGGCTGTCTGTCGCCCGCCGCGCTGACCCTGGCTCGTGCTGTGGCCTCCATCCCTGGGACCTGCCGTGTGAGAGTCTCGGAGCTGGACCTACAGCCAGGCGGCTCCAAGGGCTCATTCCGTCTTGTGACAACAGAGCGGGCTCCTCTGCCCTTGCAGTCCGCATGCGCAGCCGCAACTTCCTCTGCAGACAAGGCCAGCTCCGAGCTGACTCTGGGCTTCCAGAAGTGCGAGGGTGCAGAGCCTGAGCAGACCTTCCACGTCAAGAAGATGCATGGCGGCTTTCAGGTTCAGGTGGGCGAGAGCGGCAAGTGCCTGGACGCAGCCGGCGGCAATGGTCTCTTGGTTTACCATTGCTACGAAGAGTCGGTTGGCAACAAGAATCAAATTTGGCACCTTGATGGCGGCGAGCTTGTCTGGAGAGGGTCAGGAGAATCACATTGTGTTGACGTTGATCTTAGCACCATTCAAGACGCCCAACAGGATGAAGGCATCAAGCTGGAGACGTGTGCTTCTAAAGATGGCCAGCTGTTTTCCATTGATCGAGGGGGTTCTCGGCAAAACACATTCCACATCCGCGATGCTGATCGTAATAGTTGTTTGGTGAGATCCTCCAGCACGAAACACTTGGACATGGGTGGCTGCAGCGAAGACCAAAGGTGGCGCGAGATGGGAGATACGAGGCAAATTCAGCATGTCAGTTCCGGGCACTGCTTGGACGCTGGGGATGAATCCGCGCCGATTTTGTACCCCTGTCACACGCCAACTGCCGGGCGGAAGCAGCGCTTCCGGACGCGAGATTCTTCGAATTATATGATGGTCCAGATGGAGAAGGGCTGGGAGGACAACGGCAGGAAGATATATCCAGCTGCCTGCGGCAAGTCCTGTCACCGTGCTAGCTCAGCATTCTGAGTGGCGACTGTTCCAGGGGTCGGGAAGCCGTCACGTCTGACACCTGTCCGCGGGCAGAGGCGGTCCTCATTGGAATGCAAAGCCATACAGAGCAGCACCTGGCATGACGAAAAGAACTGTAGCGAGAGAAGTTTTGTACTTACGGGGCTTTAGCCTCAATGGGGAGGGGGTCCCAGGGGGCTTCTGCTTCGTTTCGCCCGAATTTCTTTTCATACGTTTGTTTTCACCCATTCAGGATTCACCCGTTTATATTCGCCTGTTTAGCTTCACGCGTTGTATTTCATTTGGTTTAAACTCGCCTGGGTTTGCACTCATCGGGTTTTGATTCGCCCGTGTTTAGGTTCATCCAGTTCTATTTCCTTTTGTTTAACGTCGTCCGGTTTAAATTCGCCCAATTTAAGCTTATCTGGTTCTAATTCGCCTGTTTTTCGTTCGCGCTGTCAAATCGCCTTCGGAATACGTCCGGTTACAATTCGCCCGGTTTAAATTGATGCGGGTTTCAATCTCCTGGTTTTTTTAATTCATTTGTTTTATTGCGACCATCTTGAACACATTCATTTGGTTTTCATTCGCCTGGTTTAGATTCATCCGGTTCTAGTTCGCTTGGTTTGAATTCATCCGGTTTTGATTCGCTCCGTTTTAGTTCGTCCAGCTTTATGGCGCTTGGTTCAAATTCATCGGTTTTGTGTTACAAACCGTTAACATCCATCCAGTTGTGATTCGCCCGGTTGAATAAGCATCCGGTTGTATCTCGCCCGGTTCAAAAGCGGGCGAAACACACGCGGAAGAAACAACAGCAAGCGAATTAAAGCAGATGAAGCAAAAGCGAGCGAAACAGATACCAGCGCATCAACACCGGATGTCCTGCTGAGAGTGGGGCGGCGCCATGCGAAACCTCCCACTTAGGCCTTATGTGAGGCTCGCAATGGCATCGCGAAGCTGCAAGCGATGCGCCGGCATGGGTGCAATGGCGCCATGCGGAAGCAGCCGCTCGAGCCTTGAGTAGAGACTTTCATCGTGGTGCCACAAGGAACGCGTACTATCAGCGAGCGAAGAACGGTACAACATAAACTTTCCGCCGTCGGAGACACCTGCCCCTGGGCGGCTGGAAAGTTTATACCCCTACGGTGCCACCGTAAGGGTATAAGCTTTCCAGCCGCACTGGGACAGGCGTCCCCGACGGCGAAAAAGTTTATGTTATACCGCTCTTCGCCCGTTAATAATAATAATAATAATAATAATAATACTAATAATAATAATAATAATAATAATAATACTAATAATAATACTAATAATAATAATAATAAGGAGCGACGACGTTTTGCTGCCCACAGCGGACCTTGGCCACAGGCGGGCTCCTCGACAGAAGTCTAAGGCGCGGCCCGGGAGCTCCGAGGGGGCTCCTGCCCCGCCCGCGCCTTCACCCGCCTGGCCTCTCGCCCCCGCCCGCCCGCACGTCCGCCTGCCCACCGACGTGCGCGCCCGCTCCCGTGCCCCGCGTGCCTTCCCCGCCCCGCCCGCCCGCCCGCGCGCTCGCCCGCCCGCCCGCGGGCCCGCCCGCCCGCCCTCCCGCGCGCCCGCTCCCCCTTCCATCACCCTCCTCCATCGCTCGCTGCCCCGAGGCGGCCACCAAACCGCGCCCGGGTGGTCAGGCGCGCGGCAGGGAGGCCCTTTCCCCATCACCCTCATCCCTCCACTGAGCCGGCGATTTCATCCTTCCTCCCCTTCAGCATCATTCCCTCTTTCTGTGGCGACGATTTCCTCGCCCCAAGGGGTTTTCAGAACCGACATCGTCCTCCTTCTTTTCCTGCTCCTCGTCCTCCTCCCCCCCCAATAATGTACACCGTGAAGCCCGCCATCAATTCTTTCAATTTCGCGCAGTCGCATAATGCGTTGCATTGCGTTGCGCTGCGTTCCTCATCCTCCTTCCGCACCCTTCCCCCTCCTCGTTCCCCCCTCCTCGCTCGTCCTCCACCTCTCCTTCTCGCGCTTCCCCGTCCTCCTCGCCCGCCTTCGATCCTCCCATCTCCCCCTCCTCCCTCCTCCTCCTCCTCGTCCTCCTCCTCCTCCTCCTCCTCGCTTGTCCTCCCAAGCCTTCTACTGTCATCTCCTCACCTTCTCCCTTCTTCCTCCTCCCTCCTCCCTCCTCCTCCTGCCTCTTGCCTCCTCTCCGTTCTCCTCCCTGCCTCCTCCCTCCTCTCTCATCCCTCCCTCCGCTCTCCTCCTCCTGCTCCCTCCTCCCTCCTGCGTCCTCCCTTCTCCCCCCTCCTCCCTCCTCGCGCCTCCATCCTCCTCCCTCCTCCCTCGTCCCTTTCCCCGGCACGCGAAAAAGCTTGCGGGCGGAAATGAAAACTAGTTCACTTGATTCGCCACCTGGCAAAAGTCTCGGGGGGGGGGCGAAAATGTGTTGTTCCACTCTCCTAGCGACGTGACAATGTCTGCGCGTCGGAAAACAGTATGTACAATTCCAATCGATCTGCCAGGTGGAAACGATTAGGGAGCGAAATAACAATTACTCCGCTCCACGAGTCGCCGCGTGGCAACGCCTGCGGGGCGGAAATTATACAAGTCCACCCTACTCGCCACGTGGGAATGCTGGGGGAGCGAAACGAATACTAATCCACTTCTCCTCGCCACGTGGTAACGCTCGGAGGGGGAAACAAGCATGAATTCACTACACTGGCCACGTGGCAGCGCCTGCCGGGCGTCACCGAATTACTCCGCTCTTGCTTGGCACGTGGCAGCGAAGCGGGACAGGAACAAAGGCTATTCCATTCTACTCGCTACATGGCAACGCCCCGTGGCGAGGCTTGAGAGGCAAACGCAATCACTATCACACTCCACTCGCCACGTGGCAAGGACATGGGGTGCGACAGAGAGGTATCATCCCAATTTGCTCATCACGTGGCAATGCCGCGCGGGCCGAACGTATACCATGCCACCCTACTCGCCACGTGGCACCGCCTGAGTGACGACAACCAAATATGTCATCCGAGTTGCCACGTGCCAACGCCGCGGCTAACAAAGTACAATATAATGTCGTGCACCACGTGGCAAGGCGGTGCAACGGAGACCACCGAGGCAACGCCGCCGCCGAGGCGAACACCGACATCTGCTCCGCACGTGGCTCCAGCGCGGACAAAGACGACGACGACGACGACGACGACGGCACCGGCGACGACGACGACAACGACGACGACGACGACGGACGACGATGACGGGGACGGAGGACGATGACAACGACGACGACGATGACGACGACATCGGCGACGACGACGACGACGACGACGACGACAGTGACCCCCCCGCGCGCACTCGCCCGCGTGCTTGCCCTCCCGCCCGCAGGCCCGCCCGCCCGCCAACGCGCGCGCCCGCCTGCGTGCCACGCGCCGAGCAAGATGCAGTACGACTTTGCACGCCGCGTGGCAAAACAGCAGAACGAACAAGAACTGCTCTAGCGCATTCGACGGGGCAACGCCGCGAGGGCGAACACCAACATCTGTACTTCGCAGGTGACGCCAGCGCGGACGAAGACGACGACGTCGACGACGACGACGGTGACGACGACGAACACGAACACGAACACGACGACGACGACGACCACGACGACGACGACGACGATGACGGCATCGAGGACGACGACGACGACGACGACGACGACGACGATGACGACGACTACTACAATGACGCCCGCCCGCGCGCGCGGCCGCCCGCCCGCCTGGCCGCGCGGGCTCCCGCTTGCGCGCCCGACCGCCCGCGGAAACGCGCGTCCGCCCGCGCGCCCGCCCGCGCGCACCCACCCGCCCGCCCGCCAACGCGCGCGCCCGCTCGCGTGCCCGCCCGCCCGTCCCGCCCGCGCGCCCGCTTGCCCGCCTGGCCACGCGCTCGACCGCTCACCCGATCGCCCGCCTCCGCCCGTCCGCGCGCCCGTTTCCCTTCAGTCACCTTCTTCCCTCGCTTCCTTGAGGCGGCTTCCAGACAGCGCCCGGGCGATCAGGCGCGAGACAGCACAAATCCGTTCCCATCCCCCCCCCCCCCTCCAGTGATCCGACGATTTCCTTCCGCCTCTTCCTCCTTTCGCCCCTTCCACCAACGTGCCGACGACGTCTTCACCCCGCGGAATCCTGAGAACCGACATCCTCCTCCTGCTCCTCCTTTTCCCGCTCTTCGTCCTCTTCCCCCCCTTCCCCCGTTAGGATGTGCACCCTGGAACCCGGCATCAATTGCTCCCTTGGACGCAGTCGCACAATGCGTTGAATTGCGTTGCGCTCCGTTCCTTTGCTTCCTTCCGCCCCCCTGCTCCCCCTTCCTCGTTCGTCCTCCACCTCTCCTCCTCTCCTCCCTCCTCCTTTCTCCGTCCTCCCTCCTGCTCCTGCCTCTTGCCTTGTCTCCCTTCTCCTCCCACCTCCTTCCTGCGTCCTCCCTCCTCCTTCCTCTCCCCGCCACTCGAACGGTAGGTCTCCCATTGATCCCCGTTCTCTGCCTGCCTTGCCTCTCTTAATTGTGTCCCTTTTCCTTGTGCCCGAATCATCTATCCTACTAAGTTGGGCACTCCGCCGCAAGTTTCGGCCTGGTGGCGCGTAGTCCAGCCAGACTACGTGCCCGTTTTATTCGCATTGTAATCTTCTTGCTTTCAAGTAAAAGCGTTCCCATACCTTACTTTCCTTTTCCATAGCTGGTAGCGGAGATCCAGCCCCTTCCACCACCTATATTCTTCCCGCAACCATGATCCGCGTGCCACCTCCGCCAGTATTTTCCTCGCCTACCTCTACCCCATTCTGGACTTCGTGTTCGGCAAGGCTCATCGTCTGGACCACCATGCCAGCCGCATTCATGATCCTCACGCGTGCGAGCGCGTACGGCCAGGACAACTACCAGTACAAGCGCGTCGTCATGATCTACAAACGCGCGGCGCCAACCCGCCGCCTCTGCAGTCTGCCTTTCTCCCCGGACGT